AAGCCACACCATTCCAACTATGTGCTTACCCATTCATTGGAGGAAATGTGAATATGCATAGCTCTTAAATCAAAGTTCTCCATTTGAATTGGTCATGTTATAGTCATTTTCTGATTTAATTCGATATTTGCCATATTTCCTAACATATCTATCAATTTACTCAAATTGATCATGAACATCAACCAACAGATCAGTTGTAATTTGACATTTAAAAAGTGTAATTTTACCTTTTCCATAATCGATTATAATATTTTAGTACCGATCATGCCTTTTGCTGTTGTAATTTTTATCTCAAAAAATCGTAATTTAATTTTAAAAAGTCATAAATTTTTGCAGTGTAATATTGTTGGTACGGTAGACTTTCCCAAAGTAACTTCAAGCATAATATAATATGTTAAGTAGAGCTATATGATTCTATTCACACAAGATCTATGTGTAATGAGAAGTCTTCTTTTGTTTTTGTTAAACATTGGGAAGCCTTGTTGGGAACGGGACAAGGCCCTCAAAATGAGGTTTGTTACAAAGTCAATTGTCATTGAATTCATGTGACATTGTTTCACCTTATTCGGCTTGGTGACATTCCATCTTTGATTGCTTTGACAAAAATGAATTGTCTACTTAGTTTTTAAGTTAATTAAGTTGGTATTAGTTGACAAAAAGCACATGAAAATTGACTTCAAACTAACTATGATTTGTCATGAAGAGATAGAGAGAGAGAGAGATGCCATCGCATGCATGCTTCCCAAGAGTTAAGAGCCATATTGGCAAACTATTCGAGTTCGATAATTGTTCTTGACTTGACGTATTGTTGTAAAACTACTCACTACCCGAATGAAAGAAGATCAACTATCTACACAAGAAAATAGAGAGTTCGTAAATAATAATGACAGTAGGAATGAAAAATTTATTGTTTGTATAGTAGATAATTATGACTAGCTTATATAACTATAACCATGCGAGATTTATTCAACTATTTAGAAATCATTATAAAATCCCAAAAAATTGTTGAAGAAATTTTGTGAGTAAAAACCAAGAAGATTCCGTGATGGTCAATTTGGAGCTAGCTTTTCTTGGTGTAAAACAAAGATTTGAAAATATAGTGAAAAAGTCAGTTTCTAAAAAGTTTTTGAAATTGTTTGCGGTGCTCTAAAAAAAGTTGATAAAATTAAAAAAGGCAGTTTGGGGAGACTTTTTAACTTTTTTTTTGTGTTAAAATAAAAAAATAATCACATATATGTATAGATTGTGTTTAATTAATAGTTTCTAAAATATCAATTTCAATTTTTTTTATGTGACTAATAATATTTTATGAATATAATAAACTAAAAAGTTAAGTGAAACTCCGAAAAACTTCTTAAAAACCGATAAAAACAATTTCAAAATAGTCTTTTAGAATAATTTTTTTTTTTAGGTCAAAAGCTGTTATGAAAGCTGAAAAAGCAGGGGCTACACGGGGAGCAAGAAAGCCCAACTAGTAGACAAAGAACAAGGTTATATCAAGATATTGCCCTCATCTCCTTTTTTTTTCTTGACTTTTTCATATATATATGCATCATTTTGTACTTTGAAGAACCATATTTTTTGGTGGAATACGAAAATATTTAAATCTTAAATCATTTGTTTGTACAAATATTTATCGATTAGGTCAAGACCCACCCTCTAATAACGTTTCATATAGATTATTTTTGTGAGAATTGGTTAAGCTTCAACACATCCATCGAGATGCTAGAGCAGCCTTGCTTCCTTAGAACTTAGGAGAGAGCACTTAGAAATCAAAGAGGTTATGGTTTTCAAAACAAAACATTGTACATGAGTAGAATTTTGTCCAAGGTAGGAAAGACCACAGGTTTAAGGAAATACGCAAAACTGATATCTTTAGGGGTTGTTTGGTATATGGGTTTGGGAGGGATTTGGATTGTGGGTTGGGGAATAAACTCCTTAAACCCATGTTTGGTAATCCATGTTTAGCACAGGGTTTGGAAACTCAGTCCGTTGGATGGCCCGGTCATGAAACCGATGAACTTGGGTTTCATGAAATCCATTTGGAGGGGGTGGGGGTGGGTTTTAGGGGTGGGTTAATGGGTTTAATATTTAAAAGATATTTATACCGCTCATATATCCTCACATGAGTTTAGATTAAATTTGTTATGGGGCAAAATAGTTATTTATATACAAATATATTATTATAATAGTCATATATCCCTGCGTATATCAAACATGGATATGAACAACATTGAATATTGAATCCCATATTTGAATCGCATATTTGGGTCAAACTTAGGTTTAGATAAGTCAATCCAAATCCCTCCCAATAAACATACTAAACAGCCCCTTAATACCAAAGAATCAATTTTTTTTTTAACCTTTTTTTCTTTTTTATTTTGGAAAGGGGAAGGGGGGGGGAGGGGGAGGGAAACTCGAATTCTTGACTTCAAGAAGACAAAGTTTTTACAAGACAAAAAATATTATTGGATTAAAAGTTCGTTGGTACCAAAGAATCAATTAGACGTATAAAAATTCCGAAAAAACATTATAAAATATATATTTATATATAATTCATTGTATCAATGGGAATTCATTCATCTATATCGATACATTGTATATATGGATCTATTGATACATGTATCATACTTGCTCCTATGCATGAATCATATTTATAAGATGAATGTAAAATGTATATACATGAACATGAATTCATTTGGTTACATGTATGACAATATACATGAATCATCTTTTATTACATATCTGTATAATTAGAGACATATACATGCATATTATTACATGCATGAATTAATTTTATTAGATGCATGTACACTTACATACATGTACTTTGTGTATACATGCATGACTTAGATAAATGAACTCTAAAAGTTTTTCAAAACCTATAAATAGTACCTCTAAGTTGGACATTTGGACGCTAATAAAACATCATTAGACACATTACAACATATCATAACATATTATATACATTTGAGAATTCAGACCAAAGAAGGATGCTTCTATCGTAGAGTTTTAGACTTAACTACTTGTGCAGAGTTCATTAGTGTTATACGACGAAACTGTTGGGTTATTGTATCATAGAGGATATAAGTCAAATGAAAAGGTCCGCATTGGATTTAGGCTTTACCATCTGCAGAAGGCTTAAATCTCCTTAAAGAGAGCGAGATATCTGCACTGCACCTCAGCCTGAATTGTTTCGTATCAAGTTTTATTATTTTGTTAGGTTAATTTCAAACTGCACTCCGAAAGATCGTTGGAATCTCAAATTGCACCCTCAAAGATAAAAAATCTCAATTTATAGTCTCAAAGATAAAAATTTGTATCAATGTGCACTTCAAACAAACAGTCATTTGTTTGCTGTCTAAAACTAAATGAATAAATTACACTTAATCCCCTTATATTTGATATATTACATCTACAACTTTTGAGAATCTAAATATGACTAAAAATATTTCCTTAATCGGACATTCAAATAAATTTTTTTAACTGATATATATATATATATATATATATATATATATATATATATATATATATATATATATATATATATTGCACATTTGAGTGGTAAGTTTGATTTTAAATTTTAGAGTATAACAAATTGACAAAATAAAAGGTAGTGTGAGATTATAATTTTTTATTAAGATAAAATCATATTTTTTTTAACAATTATATTAAACGATAATGGATAATGTGTTACACATGCACAAAAGTCAAACGGTGCAAAAATAATATTCTAAATGTGAGAGGGTTTAAATAATTAAATGACAAGCATGAAAAGATCTAGATATAATTTATCCATTTAATTTTAGACGACAAACTGACTATTGTTAATTTCAGGTACACATTGATACAAATTTTTATTTTCGAGAGTGTAAATTAAAATTTTTTATCCTTAAAGGATACAAATTAAATTTCAAACAATCTTTCGTAGTATAATTTGTAATTAACCCTATTTTGTTTGTTGTTTCTCAATTTATTGCAATTACACCGACGAACGGTTACCAAACTTAGTTGTATTGTATGTACGTAAGTTTATCGTCAAAATTGAAGAATAGCCAGATCGACGGAAAAGGCTGTTACCTGGCCCGACTTCCAACACAGCCTCAGCCTGGAGAGTATAGTGAGACCCACAAGCTGCTTGTCGGGTGACCCCATATTGTCCGGAAGTGGGTCGGGTCGACCCATAGTTGTGATGGTTTACCAGGCCAATATTTACAACAGAGTATAGTATGCATCCTAGGATATGATTGACAGAGGTATGTATGAGTATGATTGTAGATTAAGGCAGTCTAAAAAATGGACATAGTGAGTATAAGAAGACATGATTATGATCTGCCTTTGACAAAGACATTACACTCCATAATTAAAACCATATGCTATAAAAGAATCAACTCTTAGTCGGTGCTCTTTCCTGTCCACATGTTATGTTCACTATTATTATTCTTTTCAATTTCTTCGAGCCATTATCGTATTATTATTTTTTTTAAATAATTATAATTTTTTTTTTATGAATTATAAATTAGTAATTTTTAAAAATTATAATCTAATATTTGAAAATTATAAGTTTTACAACTTCTCCTATCAATCATGCAAGTGGTACGATACCTACAACGGACCGTAGCCTTTCCCTAATTGATAACACAATAATCATTTGCAGACAGTCCTACCCCTCTCGTCAATCATGGAAAGCATCTTTGAAAGCACAATGAAGATCCAATATGTTCCACTTGCAATGAAAAAGCTATAAAAAGAAAACTTATAATCACATAAGGACCCCCCCAAAAATTATAGAATTCAATATAAGCCATGGAAGTGTGAATAATAAACAAATAAAGGCCACAATAAGAAGAATCTTGAAGTAATCATTCTGTCTCATAAAATAGAAATCTTTGATTCAAATCCAACGGTTGATCTGCACCCTTTTTTGTACAGATTGCAACCCTTTTACCTAGCACCCAATAACACGTTATTAAAACCCACTTCACAGATCTACACTTCTCTCTCTCTCTCTCTCTCTCTACCTCATTTTATGATTTTTGTATACAATACGAATATTAATTTTATCTTAATACATCAACAATAATTAGAAAAAAAAATTAAAAACAGAATTTAAGTGGGAAAAATCCAAAAAAGTAAAAATAAAAATAAAAATACTCATGTGATGATGATTATTATGCAGAATCAGCAGGCTTGCCATTGTGAATTTCCTGTTTTACCCTTGATTGAATACCATAATAACTAACGTACCATCTGACAAACTTTCTCAACCCTGTAGCCAAGTCGGTGGTGGGCTTGTACCCGAAGTCCCTGTACGCCTGGCTCACGTTTGCATGAGTGAACGGAACGTCGCCGTTTCGTGGCATCCTAATCACATGCTTCTTCGCCTTCACACTCAGCAAGTTTTCCAGTATACCCACTAGCTTCCCCACCGACACCGGCGAAGTGTTCCCCAAATTGTACACTCTCAGTTGCGCCGGAGCTTTTTTCCGGCCACCACTGCCGGTGCTCTTCTCCGCCGTGTCAATAGCTCCGAGACACCCTTTAACGACGTCGTCAATGTACGTGAAGTCACGCGCCACCTCTTTATCGTCCTGTGTTTGATAAATATTTATGGGTTTGTTCTGAAGTATGTCCTTGGTGAAGAAGAAATACGCCATGTCTGGTCTTCCCCATGGTCCGTACACTGTGAAGAACCGAAGGGCAGTGAGAGAGAGGCCATAGATGTGATTATAAGTGTGAGCTATTTCTTCACCGGCTTTCTTCGTCGCAGCGTAGAGACTTGCTGGTTGGTCTGTTCTGTCTGATTCAGAGAATGGGACCTTGGTGTTTAGACCATAGACAGAGCTCGATGAAGCCCAAACAATGGAGGGCTGTGGATCTGAATTCTTTGCGACTTCGAGTAGATTTACGAACCCAGCAATGTTTGAATTCACATACGATTGTGGGTTTTGAATTGCGTAACGAACACCAGCTTGTGCAGCTAAGTGAAGAATGTGGGTAAAAGGGACAACATCGAACAGTTTCGTGAGCAATTCGGCGTCGTTTAGATCTCCTTCTACAATGAAAACCTCATGTTTTTGCAGAAGATTTTGGCGGGCACGTTTCAGAGAAGGGTCGTAGTAGGAGTTGAAGTTATCGAGGCCGAGAACGCCGTCGCCGCGTTTTTTTAAGGCGAGAGAACAATGGGTTCCGACGAATCCGGCAGCGCCGGTAACTAGGACGGAAAATCCGTTGGGACGGCGAGGGGTGGAGGAGCGGCGGACTTGTTTTTCCCAGGTTGCGCCGCTGCCATAGAAGGCGGAGGAAAGGAAATTGTGGGTTTTGTGGAGGTTGTGGTGGTGGGAATTGTGATTATCTGAAAATGGGGGGTAGTTTATTGTAAATAAGAAGATCAAAATCAGAGCTATTAAGAGAGTGGCTCGGAAGAGAAGCTTTGAAGAAGCTGCTAAGAGCTTTGTGCTGTTCACTCTTCTTACGTAGCTGTTGTACCGTTCTAGCTTGGTGGTTTTGCTTGTGTCCGGTGGAGAAGCCATTGTTGTTGTTTTGTATCTCGTAATTGTACCCTCAAAAAAGTTTTAGAGGGGGGAAAGTATAGAGAGAGGGGTTGAAGAGAGGGAAGTGCTGTGATTTGAGGGAGGCCCTGAGGTGGGAAGAGTGTAGATAGCTGGGTTATAAAGAAAAGATGAGAGAGAAAGAAGGTTGGACTTGAAGAGATAGAGATAGAGATAGAGAAGGGAACCAATTCCTATATCATACAGCTAATTTTAACAGCATTATCTAATGGTTTATTAATTACTTAAATCATCATTACTTGCATAAAAATAAAAAACATATTGATCCAAAGGTCCTATCAATTTGCGAAGTGATGCGATTGGGTTCTAAAATATTAATTTAATTTATTGATATAATAATTTATCAAATTTTTATATCAAAATAGTATTACTCTATTTATTAATTAGTGTCGTAATAGGTTTATATCGTGTACAAGAGAATATTTAATTATTTTTTTAATTTTGATTAAACTTTTATTCAAATTCATACCAAATAAAAAGAGTTAATTTTTTACTCAAATCAAGTGAATCTCAAATCTTTACATAAAATTTTAAGGATCAGAGTCCACTTTTATTTAAAGATGTAATGTTCATATTCAACACTTTTTTATATTTAAATTTATCGGTCTTTAAATTTGAGTATACATTTTTGAGTAACAATTTGAGTGTAAGGTTGGGATGACATAAGTTGTGTTCGTGAAAATTAACTTAATTCATGTCTGGTTTATTTATATTCATGTATAATTAGGTTTGTTTTCGTATTAAGTTCGTGTATAATTAGGTTTGTTTCATTTGATGAAATTGTGTGTAGCCTCTTTACATCATATTTAATCGGATTTATATCGATCCACAAATTTGATAGGTCTAATGAATCTATTCAGGACTAATAATCGAACTGAACCTATCGAGCTCGAGTCGAGCTTGTTGAACTCATTTTTTTAAATGAGCTTAAATAAGTGTTCAAATTTGATTCGTTTAAAAAATGAGTCAACCTGAATTAAATTACCTAAGTTTTGCTAATTTAGAAAACAAACTGAGTTTAAACGGTCTAAAAAATTGTTCAAATTCAAATTTTTTAGAAAACATACCGAGTCAAATGAGCTTAAAATTTTTTTCAAACTCGTTTTGTTTAAAAAACTAATCGAGCTCGTAGTCGTTTTCGAGTTGAGCTCGACTAGCTCAATTTAATTATCAACCTTAAATCGATCTATTTACCATCCAAATTTAATAAGTCTAAATTCAAACTCACTAATCTTAGATTTGAAGATGGTGTTTACAATTGTTATGTTTAATTCAAACTCTTCGCAACGTAATAAAGAAGTCTAACAGTTTCTCTCGATATCTGTCTTTTAAGTCATTAATCTCTTCTGCAAATAGCCCTTTTAATAAAAAAAAATATCTAAATATTTTTTAAAAGTATATTTTTATATTAAAAAACGTGAAAAAGAAAAATGATTGATTTAGATGAAATAAAAAAAAAATTATAAAGTGGTGAAAAAAAATAAAACTCGGAGAGACATGGCGTTGGTGTTGGTTGGGGGCCACTTTCATTTTTTTTTTTCTCTTTTAACTCGTTTACAGATGTAAAGAGAGACAATAAATAAAAATTAGATGAAATGCCCCCCCCCCCCACTTCCACGAAATTACAGACTTGTCCCTGCATTTATGTGGATTTGAAATGCCAGCTACATTGGGTGTGTTGTCGGGTATAAAAAAGGAATAATGTTTTTGGGAATTAATTTATTGATACAATTTATTAACCTAATTTATTATGATATTTAGATTAACTGTAAATTGAGTAATGATATGCATCTCAAATTTATAACTTAAATTTACATTCCAGATTAAGGAGGACTATTGGATCAGTAAGTCTCATTTAAAAAATTGATGGAATCCACTGATCTAATGATTCTCTTTAATTTGAGATACAAATTTAGGTTACAAATTTAGAATACACATCATCACTCTTAAAATTTGATATTGATCCAATAATTTCAATAAAATCACATCTCAGATTAAATTTTTAGATGTAAAAAGAATCTCAAATCCATGTGATGGTTATGTGTACCCGTGGGAACACTTCCCTCTTGTTCAAACTTTGACATATCTACAAGAATGATCTCTTAACATCATGGCTCGATCATGTGGGGTCCAATTGTCGGAATAAATATTTATTATTTAATTGATAATTAATATTAGATTGATAAACAAAAAATTAATAAAATAAAAATGAAATGATGTGGCACAAATATAATAATAAAATGATGTGGCACAAAATGAAATGATATCTGTTTTTTTGTCGGTGTAAGATTTTATCAATATTATGATTAAATAAAAACTTATTGTGTTATAAAAAAAAGTTGACATATTTTATGATAGTAGAGAATTATTCCAACAAAACATCTTTTAAAATTGTGTTTTGTATTGCAATTTAGAGGTACGTAGCGTAGTTAATCTAATCATGTGTATCGGTTAAATTTGAATTTTATATTATCAATTTTATTTTAACTCAATCTGGGAAAATTTATTATATACCTTGAAAAATTTCTCAATTCTTAATTAGACCCGTCAAGAGTACTGTCACGTGAACTTAAAAAATGGATTTGAAAATTATAACTATTGAATAAGTAGTTGGTCTCAATAAATACTGAGATTTACAGTGAAATTAATGATTATAATTATCAAATCCATTTTTTAAATCCAAATAGAATTGCTCGGTCTGTCAATTGTATGATGTGAGCCAGATTCGTGTCAAAAGACATTCCACTCATACTTTATTAGTTTATTAATTCGTGTCTAACGAATCATATCATATTAAATTCATGTAATATATGTGATGGGTCAAACCCAAGGGCCTAACTCAAATTATAAGCCCAGTCCGAATTTTATAATCCATCTCCAAGAGATCCAACAAGTCCAGTTCAATGTGGTCAACCTGGTCAAATTCATCAAGCTCAAAGAGCTACATTAGCAGGGAGCACACAGGGTCATTCAAGGTCTCATCATCGCCGCCTTGGAGAGAGTCAATCCTCACTTCATCCTTTAACCAAGTCTCATGGAGAGTATTGTAACCGCCTCGCCCGTTAAGAAAAGGTTGTCACCTCCGTCGGATCAACTATTTAATTAATATCAAATCACCTCAATCCGTTATGACCGCCAGACTAACCATTCAATTACTATGCATTATAAGGCGACTATAAATTGTAAGTGCTGCCAACACTTAAGGGACATTACACTCATTTTAGCATATATAATCATCTCCTCACCCTCTCAAAGCTGGTAACCCTATGCGCTCTCTACACACTTGAGTTAATAAAATATTCGGTGATCATAACTATTTAAACTGGACGTAGGTCACGTTGCCCGTACTATAAAACCTTGTCTTGCTTTTGTCTCTATCTCTCACTTATGCTTTGTTTGGTACGATGGAAAAGTGGGAGGATGAAAAGTTGGAGGGATAAATAAAACATTAGGTTTGGTAAGGAAGAAAAGTAGGAAGGATGGAAAAGTGGATGAATTAACTTTCATTTCAACTCACTAAAATCAATCCCTTCAAAATCGGAAGGAAAGTGGATGAAAAGTTAATTATTTGTGTTGAAATTTATCTTATTTGTCTATATTATCTTATGTATACATTAATTTCATATAAAAATATAAATGGTAAAATATGTATATATATTTTAAAAATTAATTTTTAAAAAAATATAAAATAAAAATATCAAAAATAAAAAATTTAAATTAAAAAAAAAATAATTTTTTCATCTTAACTGAGGGTGAAAATTTTCGACTTAACACGATAACATGACTTGAACTGGATACGAAAATAAATAGGTTAACTCGCAACTCGACACGACACAATTAGTTAAATGAGTTAAGTTAGGTTTGACTAATATTCGACACAAACTCGTAATGACTTAACACGAATCTGACACGATACGACTTGACTCTATTGTCACCCTTAATTTTAGTCGGCGCAAAAAAAAAATTTTCATTTTTATTTTCCATCCATCGAGTCAAACACAAAGAAAGAAAAATGTATCATTCCTTTTTTCCATTCTTGAAAGATAGAAAATGTATTACTCCTACTTTTCATCCTCCATACCAAACGGAGCATTATCAATTATTGCATTTTTACTGTTCAATTGACAAGTGATGTACAAACTCAATTTGTGCATTATCAATATAAATTATTTAATAACCGATATATAAAACGAGTTGTGTTTTATATTTCTTTTAATTGACTTCATTTATACCCGATTCACCTATTAATCGTGTCGTGTCGGGTGCACTTGTTTACAAAATAGATGAATTAAGAAAGACTCTAACTCACTAATTTTATATCATGTTTGTATCGTGTTAATGAATCATATCATATTTTTTTTTTCCTAAATATTTTGTGGAAAAACTTGTCAAAAGAATTTCCACTTAACCTAAATCTTAGATCTCTTGCTGTTTAATAAGAAATATAGAATGATGCATGTATAATTACAAAATTGTCCGTCTAGCAAACATTAAAGCAATGAGCCAGCTTTATCTTACAGTGGGAAGTCTGCAGTGTAAGCATTTAATACTCTTGCAAATTGCACGCGGTAGTAACTTGGAAAAGCATAGGTTTGAAAGAGACAAAATAAAGGAAGTTCAACTCATTATATATAAATTTTTAATATTTCTCTATGGTTTATTACCTATCTTGAATTCAAATGCAACATAGTATTTATGAGTTGACCCTCATTCATTCATCGTAAAATTGAGTGAGAATATAATGACGGGTTTCAAATCTAAGTAAGGTGACTTATTTTTGAGCTATAATAATTTTTTCGTAACAAAACATTGTCCCACTTAAGAATAAATATTGGGTGTAATTATTACACCATGTCAGTAGTGTCACGTTGTATAACCGTTCACTAACAAAGTTACTAAATGGGCTCTACTAAAATTGATAACCACCAAACTATTTAATGCATAACCATCTCTATGATTGAAAGTTGACTATATTTTTTTATTTTTTATTCTTTTATTGGATGATTACACCCAATATTTACTCACTATTTAAACACTCTTAAGATATGTGGATGTATACAATCACGCTTGAAATTTAAAATTAGACTATCAAGGTCATAATTATTAAAATCTCTTCACCCTAATTATAATAAC